AAGAGGTGGATCCGAATAAGGCCAAGGCCATCTTAGAGATGTCACCCCCAAAGACAAAAAAGTTGGTCAAAGGTTTCCTTGGAAGAGTAAATTACATAGCTCATTTCATATCTCAATTAACCGATACTTGTACTCCCATCTTCAAACTACTTCGAAAGAACTAGTCGATGGAGTGGAGTGAAGAATGTCAGCTCGCCTTCGACAGGATCAAACAATATCTGGCATACCCACCGATATTGATGCCTCCTGTCGAGGGGAAACCTCTAATCCTATACCTTACAATATTGGAAGGTTCCATAAGATGTATGTTAGGTCAGTAGTATGAAACCAATAATCAAGAAAGAGTTATTTATTACCTAAGCAAGAAATTCACAGACTACAAGACATGGTATTCACCTTTAGAAAAGACCTGTTGTGTTTTGGTATAGACTTCTCAATGATTAAAACAATATGTGCTAAGGCATACCACCTGGTTGATATCAAGAATGGATCCCATCAAGTACCTGTTCGAAAAGCCCATACTCATTGGGAGGGTTGCTAGATGGTAGATATTGTTATCAAAGTATGACATCACCTATGTCACATAGAAGGCAATCAAGGGCAGCACTTTGGCTGATTATCTAACAAATGGACTGACCGATGAACACCATGTGATAAAGGATGATTTCCTTGACGAAGAGGTTTTAGCTCTGGGAAATGAAGAAAAAGGACAAATCAAGGAGGAGTCTTGGACCATGTTCTTCAACGGAGCCTCAAACCTGATGGGACATGGGATAGGCACCATACTAATGTCATCATAAGGAAAACACACCGATGATGACAATATTAGACTTTAATTGCACCAATAACATGGCCGAATATGAAGCCATCATATTGGGTTTGCATGCCACTCTCGACAACGGCTTCACGAGATTAGAGGTCTATGGCGACTCAACTTTGGTAATACACCAATTAAGGGACGAATGGGAAATCATAGATTCCAAATTAATTCCTTACTATGAATACATCCAAAACCTAATACCCCAGTTCGAATCAATCAACTTCGAACACACCCCAAGAAAAGGAAATCAATTGGCAGATGCCTTAACCACACTATCCTCCATGTTCACCATAAAAGAAGGAAGCAAGATGTCGATCATTAGAATTCGACGCCATGAAGTAAAAGCCCATTGTTTCACGGTAGACGAAAAAGATGATGGCCACCCATGGTATTTTAACATCTAGCAATATATTTGAAAGAGGAAAATACCCAATCGAAGCATCTGACAACGATAAGAAGACAATTAGACGTAAAGCTATTGGATTTCATCACATGGGGAAGCCTTTACAAGAAAAGCTTCTATTTAGTCTTGTTAAGATGTGTCAATCACAAGGAGGCTCAATCCTTGATGAAAGAAATCCACAAGGGAACCTTTGGTACCCATATGACATGACACACCATGGCCAAGAAAACCATGAGGGCAAGTTACTTTTGGTCAACCATGGAGAAGGATTGTATCCTGTATGCAAGAAGATGTCAAAAGTGCCAAGTATACGTGGATAACATCCAAGTCCCACCCAACGAACTTAATGTAATGACATCACCATGGCCATTCTCAATGTGGGGCATGGACGTTATTAGGCCCATTGAACCCAAAGCTTTGAATGGACATAAGTTCATCCTCATAGCCATCAACTATTTCACCAAATAGGTTGAAGTAATGTCATATGCACATGTAACCCATAAGGTGGTGGTCAACTTCGTTAGGAAAAACATAATATGAAAATATAGGATTTCTGACAAGATTACAATAAATAATGGGTCCAACCTCAACAATAAGATGATGACCAAATTATGTGGCTCTTTCAAAATTCATCAGAATTCCTCCCCTTACAGACCTAAAATGAATGGGGTGGTTGAAGCAGCCAATAAGAACATAAAGAAGATTGTTCAAAAGATGGTCGTCACTTGCAAGGATTGGCATGAGATGTTACCTTTTGCCTTGCATGGGTATAGAACATCCGTCCGTACATTGATTGTTGTTACACCTTTCTCTTTAGTATATGGTATGGAGGTAGTCCTACTTGTAGAAGCGAAAATTCCTTCTTTAAGACTGCTCATGGAGGCAAAACTCCCCGAGGCTGAATGGGTACAAAGTAGATTTGATCAGCTAAACCTCATAAAAGAGAAGAGACTGGATTCTATCTGTCATAGGCAGACTTATCAAAGGAGGATCAAAAAGGCTTTTAATAAGAAGGTTCATCATCGACACTTCTAAGAGGGCGATTTCCTGCTCAAGAAGCTCATACCAGCTCAGAAAGACAAGATAAGGAAATGGACACCGAACTATGAGGGTCTGTATGTGGTTAAGTGGGCTTTTTCCAACGGAGCATTGATCATTACCAACATGGATGGTGAGGATTTAACTTATCCAGTGAACTCCGACGCGTGAAGAAATGCTACGCTTGAACAAGATCGCTTGCAAAAAAATCTTGCTAGGATACGTCCTAGGAAAAAGTTAGGGATAATATAAAAAGAAGGTGACAAGCATCTAAAAAAATCGAAAACCAAAAAGAGAACTAGATACCCTATCAAGGAATTGGAGCCCCCTGAAGAATCTAGTCAGAGTTCGAAGCATGCAGTCCAGGACGACTAAGGGGATGTTTACCTTTGTTTTCCAAGGGACATTTTTGCTTGAGCCCAAACACTGGCCTATCTCAGCTAGCCATTCTTTCTAAATTCCTTTTTGTAATCTTTTCTTAAAGCCTTTGATTTTATAATAAAGATACCTTTTTTCATTTATTTCTCTTGACCTGCATCTTTAAATGACGTGTTTTATTATTGATTAAATGAAAATTGAATCTGTCTGATAAAAGGAAAAATAAATGAACAAACAACCGTGTATGGGCTCCTAATAAGTGGGAAGCAATACAAAATGTTCCATGGCACTTGTAACAACGGGGAAAAAGAGAGAAGATTATTCAAAAGAAGTTTCGCTTGAAGGAGAAATGAAAGGCCATTTTCCCGAGACAATGGATAACAGGGGACACCTAAAAGGCATATTGCACATGCATGACATACGTGAAATTCATGTTTAGAAAAACAATTTTTCACGTCTAAGGGGAATTATCTAAAAAAATAAACAATGAAAATATAGATATTCTAGTAAAGCATGCATCCATCATCTGTACATTGAATAAAGTTAAAGTCGAAACAAAAAGAAAATAAGCAACATAGGAAAAAAGGCGAAGCTTCCACATTAGAAAAGTTAAAGCTGAAAATAGTGACAAGCTCAAGGCTCAGAAGAATCCTCAGCATGGGACTCAACCACAAGCAAGGGGGAAGGTCTTCCCATAGTAGCAGTCCTATCTCATGATGAAGTCAAGCAATCCAACAAAGATCAGAACCATCCACATGTCAATCACAACATCTTCAAACCACAACACCCTTAGGCCACATCAATATCCCACACCATGCTAATACTACAGACAAACATTCCCCAGCACTCCAGTAATGACAACAAAACATCCAAGTTTCCCACATCAACATCCTCATGCTCACAATGTCATCACAATGAGCATTACCAAACAACATCCCAACAGCACATCCGCGTTGAATCCACCTCAACAATCAGCACTCATCCACAAAGAAAAACTCAACATCCACATAGACGCCTAGAGAGGCATATAATACTTACCTGGCAAGAGTAAAACAAGATTCCTACCAACCAATCAAACAATCAAAGGAATCACAATGGACGTCTGGAGAGGCATCATAATACTCACACGGTAGGAATAATACAGAATTCTTGCTATATATCCCCAGCACAACTTCTAGAGAGGCATCACATACTCACACGGCAAGAACAACACAGAATTCCTACCACATATTCCATCTCCAATGAAGACGTTTGGAGAGGCATCACAATACTCACTGGTAGAGGCAACACCAGAGTCTCTACCACCCATCTATTCCCCGGTAAAGACGCCTAGAGAGGCATCACAATATTCACACAAGGTGAGGCATCACAATACTCACACAAGTAGAGACATCACCAACACCTTGCTAATCTCATCCCAAAATAAGGGGCACGCCAGGCATCCCTTGCCCATCATCCCTAGGGGCACTCTGCAAGCACCAATTTGAGGACACTGCTAAAATCCTCAAAACAAAGAACGAAACCAGGATCACCAAAATACGATCCTACAAAAGATTCTCGCATCCACCAACACAAAGGACATGATCATCTACACACCTCAAGCTTGGAGAGGCTAGTAAAGGATACTCACATAAAAGATCGAAAAAGGTTGACTTGACCCTCAAAACCAGTACAACTTGGAGAGACTGTGCCAAGGAACACTCAAAGGTTGGTTGGACCTTCAAAACCAGTACAGCTTCGAGAGGCTGTGCTAAGAAACACTCAAAGGATGGTTGGACCCTCAAAAATAGTATAGCTTGGAGAGGTTGTGCCAAGGAACACTCAAAGGTTGGTTGGACCCTCAAAACCAGTACAACTTGGAGAGGATGTGCCAAAGAACACTCAAAGGTTGGTTGGACCCCTAAAACCAGTGTAGCTTGGAGAGGCTATGCCAAGGAACACTTGAAAAAGGCCAGTTAAAGCCTTAATGTCAGTCCAGGTTAGAAAGGTTGAACTTAGAATATACTCATTCCTCAATGTGCTTTGAATAAAGCCTCAATCACGCCATCACCGAACAAGCGACCAAGGGCATCAGTAGGGAGCATCTACACCAAGCTAGAAGTTCAAATGGTATAGTTTACCATCCTTGTCACCCAATGGAACACATAACTCGATACTCAGTTGCTCCAAAGGGTAAGGATACAGGTAAACCCATCTACCCGAAGGAAACGATGTGGAAGCACCTACACTATGAAGCAAAAGAAAAAATCTAGATGAAATGTCTATGTCTTTACTTGGCTTTGGAAAAACAACACATAGTTATCCAAAGGACAAGTAAAAAGGGGCATCTGTAGACATCTAATTCCTTCTAGGGCATGCAAACAAGGAAATGGGCCTTTAGTACGAGACAAAGGAGTTCCCAAAGGCCCGAATATGACGTCATAACGGACCAACGCAACATCAAAATGGCTCATTGACATTAAAATGGACCAGGATGACATCAAAAGGCCTAAAAACCCAAAAAGAATGAATTAGGAACCCGAAACAAGTCATTCCCAATCTAAAATGGACCTTTCCAAGCTTCTAAATGGATTATAAACCCTAGGTCAAAATGGGGCGTTACCAATCCAAAATGGGTTGTTTTGACCCAAGTTGTTATGAGTTAACTTCAAATCTAGAACGAGTCATTTCAATTTCAAAATGGGTCGTTCTAGATTTAAAAAATTGCTCATAACAAACTAATCTATAATAGCCCATTTCGGTGATCAGAACATCCATTCCAATTAAGTCTGACATTTATAAATATGAGACTCATGTACGGTGCTAAGGGAGGAAAAAATTGCCTAGTAGAGTCCTATATAGCTCAAAATCTTCTATTTCTCTCCCTCTTTGTATTTCTTGAGATTTGTGAGGTAAATTGTAATGTGTAAGGCAACCAAAAAGCGCCTCAAGTCCACCATATTGGAAGCATATTTTATAAAAGCTCGTTCAAGAGGTATTCTCACCAAATTCCTTCTCTATTATCTACTATTTCTGTCATAAACATTGTCATAAATAAAAGCGACCATGTAGATGTCTTAGGTTCAATCATGTAATTTTAAAGTTAAGCATGTAAATAACCATTAATAAAGGGGACTAAATATTTAAACTTTTATTCTCTATCGTGCTAATTTTGTCATAGGGTACTGAGATAGGTCGTTGTAGGGTGCCTAATACCTAGGCATGGCAATGGGACGGGGCGGGGTGGGTTTTATGTTTCCTGCCCCCACCCCTAATACCCACTGGGGGTAAAATCTAGGTACCATCCCCGCCCCCGACGAGATTCAGGTTTCCCCACCCCGCCCCCGCCCCTACTCCTGGACCTTTTTTTTTATTTTTTTTCTATTTCTAATAAATATAAAAAAATAAAATAAAATAAAATAAAAAAAAATACATATAAAGATTTATAATTTTAGTATATATATATATAAGGATAGTTTTTTAATTATATTATTAAGTGGGACGGGTATGAGGGCGGGGCGAGGCAAGTATTAACATCCCCGTCCCTGATTTTACCCATCGAGGAAAACTCGAGCCCGAACCCGATCAACACTGGTTTTCTCCGTCCAAATCAGGGCGAGTTCAGGCGGGTACTCACGGGGTCGGGTTAGAATGCCATGCCTACTAATACCTTCCCTATGCGTAACCGACCCCCAAACCCAAGGTTGGCTTTGAAGGTCATTTTTTATAAAAATCTTTCCTTTTTTCGATGTTTTGAGTAAAGCATTGGTGGTGACTCCTTCGAATACTTTTCAAAACTATTGATTGAGGATTAGTTTGGTTTTCGGGCATTTCTTAACCGATAAGATTTTCGAAATGGAAGTCTTAACCATTTGTGGGCAAGATTAGAATTTTTCAGGTTTTGACAAGTGCATCTTGTAAACACCTTTTGAGAGTCATCACTGCATTATTGTGATTAATATTGCTTGATTATCTTATTGTTACATGGTATGATGAAGCATGGACATGATTAGGAAAATTTTTCTTTGAAAGAATTTAACCAAGGGTCAAATAGTCAACCTTTGAATGTTTAATTCCACTTGAACCCTATTTGAGCCTACAATTTTAAAATTCTTTTTGTCAACCCCTTTAACCTCATAAAGAAAAACCAATATCAATCTCCCTCACTTAGAGATTAGGAGAGCATAAATGAGATGTCTTTTGCTTGAGGGAAGCAAATTTCTAATTTGGGGGGAGTTTGAGAGTTTGTAAGGGTTGGAATGAAGAAAATTTCAGGAGATCATGAATTCAAAATATTTAGAAAATTTTCTCTCATATGTAGTTGTAAATATTTATCTTGTATACAAAAAAAAGGTAAAAACAAAAAACAAAAAATTAAAAATAAAATAAAAAATGAAAACAAAAACAAAAAACAAGGAAAAAAAAAAGTAATATGTTGTACATATTTTTTGAGTAAGAGAGAAATTTTCTTTTTGATGTATAAGTATAGTGGTTGGGCAACCTATACTCGTTGGGTGTAGGAAACACAAAATGTTTGTGTCCTCAATGTCAAGCGTGGGCTTAGTCTTGTTAGGTGTGGAAGCCCAAAACACTTGTGACATTATTGATGTTAGGCATAAGCTAGTCACATCAGGCACGAGAACTCTAGAGGCCCTCTAGATGCATCTCACCAAGCACAAGGGGAATCATACCAGGCATGATCCTTCTAGAGGCTCACAACCTCACACACGTTGAGCATAGGCTATGCCTCGCCAAGGAACCTAAATTTCATATATGCGTGAATTTTTGTAAATAAGTGATATTCATAGTATGATAAGTGACAAGGGATTTGTGCTAAGTGAATGTGATAAGTGATAAATTGTGAAGTATTGAAAATTATAGATTAACAAATGATTTCTTGTTGAAAGTGCATAGAGTATTGAATGTCATGCACATGTGCATGTGTGTTTTGTGATGGGTACGATGTGGAATACACCACTAAGAAAAACTCTTTTATGTAAAAGCTTAGGGATTAGTCCTTGGAGATAGTTTGGTTTGGGAAGTCCTAGTTTCACCCATTGTGTGCATGAGGCATATCTTGTGTGGCTTAGCTATCCCAATGAGACCTTATTAATATATCTTTTTAGTGAGAATGTGGTAATGGTTTGACCTGACATGTACTCTTAAACTACTCAATCTTCAAGTAGGGAAAAATGTTTTTACTGATGTCACATGCATATAGTTAGAAGAGTCTAGTCTTTGCATGACCATAGCATATTGTATGTATTTAAGTGATATTTGATTTATGTGTTGATGAGATGAAGTATGAACTAAGTTGTATTGTTTAAATTAATGCTCTATTATATATGTATGGATTTATAAAGTATATGATTATTTGTTAAGAGTATTGTTTGTATTTGGCTACCCTGCCTTATTTTACACAGGTAGTCAGAGTGAGATATATTCTCACTTCCCTATCTCTTTTGTGGATATTTCTAAATATATTTGTAGGAGGCTTCCTTTCTAGAAGAATTTTTAATTGATAGAAGGGATAGCTTTTATACCTATGACATCAGGGATTTAAGAAACGTGTTTTTATATCTTTGTTTTGAGAATTATAGTTTATCTCTTTACACGTATTTCTTAATTTTGTAATAACTAGGTGTTTAGTTTGAGTTTGCATTTAAGATGTGATACTTTTTACCTTATTTAGAGTTATTCTTTCTTTTCATAAATATTATATTGATTTTATTATACATGAGCGATAGAGGGTGTGCAAATATGTGCTGCCAAAGCATCACCATTTAGCCGAAGTTGCCACCAATGTCGCCTCCTCCGAGACCATGAAGAGTTGTGTCGATTGGCTCAGGATATCAAGGAAGTTGCCACCTCGACTACCATCAAAACAACGAGCATGACACCTCATTGGAGAAAGAAGGTCGGGGTCCAACTTCACTACTAACGAAAATTAGGGCACGACGTTCCATGACTCGAAAAAGGTGTGTGAAAAATATGATGAAGTGACAATAGTGAAGTGCATGTTAAAATTTTGTCTAAAAAAAATTAAAATCAATTTATCTATATGACAATGGTAAAGTAGAATATAACAAATATAATATGTATTATGTTTATCACATTGGATTTTTTTAACGAGAGTTGACAAAGGAGACTATTTTTAAAACGTTATAAAAGATTAGGGATGAAATAATAATAAAAAAATAGAGGAACTAAAAATAAAAAAAAATGATAAATTATAAAGACAAAAATTATATTTAATTCAAAATAAAAATACAAAAATAAATAAAACTTAAATAATATTATCCCTAAGTTTAAATTTAACTAAGAATAACTGTTTAATAAAAAAAATATTGTTCGTAAAAAGTTGGGAGGCCAAGTCCCCTAAATACAAACATGGATTTGTCCATGTTAGTTGTTGGGTAATGTGTGTGTTAAATATTATAAACTTTTCAATAAATTCAATGTTGATGACTGAATAAATACTAAAATGTTGTCTCAATACAAAGTTAAATTCATTTTAAGTCTTCCATGATTTTATGGCTCAAGTTCTCGATACAACATTTGTGTAATGTATTCTTTCTATTAACAAAACAAATTTATTAAAAAATATAATTGAGATACATATTTATAATAATATATAAAAAAAATTACAAATTATAAATTCAAATTCTAAATCATAAATCTTAAACCTTAAAGTTATTATACTCCCTTCTATACCTATATATAAAAGCAAAAAATGTTTAAGATTTTTGGATTAACTCAAAAATACCTTTTATAATAATAAATAAGGATACTATCATGTAATTAAGGATATTTTAAAAAATATAAAGCATATTTTATGTGAATTTATAAAAATTAAATACATTTAGTAAATTTTCTTAACTAATGTGAAATTAATTATTTTTACTTATATATAAGTCCAACCGATTAAATATAAAAGTTATAATTGTAGCATTTACTTTTGATCATTTAATGAACATTATTATGTAATGTTGCATAATTAAATAAAGGCATTTACCAAATTTTATTATAATAAATATTTAACGGATAGGCATGTAAATTACTTTGATATCCATTGACTCTACCTATTAATTATAGTAAGTATAAATATATTTTATTAAATTATTTGTTAGTAAAGAGTATATCTTTTACTCATTACAAATTTTATTCACGTGTATCTAGAGTTCTTTTATTCCTAATTTTGACTCTATACATATATATATATATATATATATTTATATTGGGAGCATATCAAGTAAGAGAAAATTTATTATGAGAGATGAGAGGGTAAAAATATAATTCTTAGATTAATTTTCTCTCACTTGATTAAATTTCAAATTTTCTCTCACTTGATTAATCTAAGGGTTATATTTTAACCCTCTCATCTCTCATAATAAATTCCTTCTCACTTGATATGCTCCCTATATATATATATATATATAGAGGAAGGTTCAAACGACACTGGTGTAACTTTTATTAAGTGTTACACCGCCCAATAACTTTATATTAAATGTGAATTTTGAAAATCCAACCGTTAGATTGAAAATTCATATCTCTTAGATCATATATATCAAATTTTATATTAATCTAAGATGATTTGATACTTCATTCTCATAAAACAAAATTGACGTAATATATACATTTTAAAATATACTAAAATATGAACACTTTGATTACCTTCAAATTGTTGTTCAATTTTAACAAAGGAATTTAGAAAATGATAAAATATGTTATTTATTCATCACTCATTTTTTTAATTTTGTTTGACAAAATACACTTGTTATATTTGATTATGTGTATACATACTTGATTAGTTGAATAAATAAATAAATATATATATATATATATATATATGTGTGTGTGTGTGTGATTTAATGTGTTTAAATTAAAGTTTTTATTCCTTTCAAAAAAAAATTAAAGTGTTTATATTTTTACAATGCTTGAATAATTTTAATAAGTGTTTATATTAAATTAAATTGGATTTAAATTATGAATAATAGGTTGAAATATTACATGATTTACTATATGTTAGAATGTTACACACAATTAAATTATTGAATTCACAAGTATCGGTTTACATCTAAAACAGAAAAATTTGAAAGTAATATAGACTTGTGATTCTTATCACTTTTAAAAGAACCAACTACATGCATAGCCACCAACTTAAAAGCGGGGCAACACAAGTATCTTGCTGGTTAAACCTAAATGGACTTTACATTTATGTCAGACTCTAAATATAAAAAAATAAAAATAAAAAATAGATATGGTGCCAAACTACATATATCCAAGTCACAACATAAATCAACAATTAAAAGAATGTTACATTAATTAACACCTTGTAACGTTCACATCTCAAACACACCAATAGGGTCACAAAACCAAATCATTCCTTCCCAATTTTCTATAATATGAGATCTCACTTCTCATACATACCAGAGAAACAGATAAAAACAACAACCCCATTAGTAAATTTGTTTATATTTTTTTTTTACCTTCCTACCTCATGCTTGAGAATAGCAAAAAGTTATGTCAGAAGGGTCATCCATAGCCAGCTGAGAATTGTATCATTTTGATTCAGCCATCTAAAGTTGTTGTACAGCTTGAGGTTTCTAATGACGACCCATCTCCTTGCTGGTAAGCTCACCACTGTCGGCAAATTCTTGGCTTTCCATTATTGCCTTTCTGAACTTCATCATATCAGCATTGTATTGCATCGTATCATATTCAGAGCTTCCAGATGAAGTGTAAGCACTACTATTCCCTCCAATCTTCATTCCATCTTTCAAGTCTTCTATTGAGGCGTCTCCTTCCAGTGCTCTTACAATCTGCCCATAATTAAGTCATACATCAAATGAATATAAATTCATATCACTAACACGGTAACACTGTTTGTATAATTGTATTGGCTTTAAAATCCTTCCAAATGAACTTTCAAATAAAACCAGCAACTACCTGTTTCCTATTTTTATGCCTTAGGAAGTGAGAATTCTCGTTTACATCATGAACATACACGAAGTCACTAACTTTTTAAAATGTGAAATTGTGCATGCATGTACACCAACACCCTAATTTCTCTAGCAAAATTTGTCATTGAAACCCAAATAAAATGCCAAGTGCAGACATATATAGATCACATCAAGGGGATGGCTTTACTCTGTACTATTCTACATGTTTTTAGTCATATGAGGCCTTAATTTACAAGATCTCTATGCATATGCATCACATGTATATACCTGACTCATTTTTGGACGCTTTTTGGCAGCATGACGAATGCTTGCAGCAGCGCATGCTGCCATTCTTGTCATTTCCTGAGTATTGTACTTGCCTTCCAAAAATGGATCCACTAACTCTCCAAAGTTGCCATCCTCCTCTAGCCCTTTATTCAAGAGTGGTCTAGCCTGCTCGGTATACAGTTTTTTTAACCATTTTTAGATTGAAGAGAAGAGTTATACAAACTTGAAAACCCAAAATATATAGAAGGATAGAAATGTATATAGCACTAACCCAATCCACTAAGCTTTCGTCCATGGCATTTGTGTGATCCAAAGGTCGCTTTCCAGTTATGAGTTCCAATAGCATGACCCCAAAGGAGAAAACGTCAGACTTCTCTGTCAATTTTCCACTTGATGCATATTCTGGGGCCAGGTACCTGTTTCAACGTGCAAATCTAGGCTATTAATCTGTATTAATTAATAAATAAACCATACACATTCTTATCTTCCATTTGATTCGACATTTTTCAAATATTTAAATGCGCTATCAAACCATTGAATATATTGTAGTTAAAATTATGTTCTGTATTGTTAATGTCACTAATTATATTTATCTGAAGAAAACCACATTGTATATATGAGCAAAACTATTAATTCCTATTTTTTCACTTTATTTGAAGTTTCTGCATGTATTAGAGCATGGGGTGGAGAATTACCCGAATGTTCCCATGACACGAGTTGAGACATGTGTATTATTATCAGTGGTCAACTTAGCCAATCCAAAATCAGCCACCTGATTAAGATGCACCATTGGCATAATCAATAAGCTTCATTGACAAAAGATTGGTAATATGTGTGACATATAGCTAAAGTAGTGAAAAATAATAGATAGACTTCATGAAAAACACAAAAACGTAGATATGTGAAACCTTTGCTTCAAAGCTATAATCAATAAGGACATTAGAAGCTTTAATATCACGGTGGATAATGCGTGGACTACCTGAGTTAATTTGCAAATAAAGCAAATATGAGAAAAATAACGAAAGGAAAACGAAAAAGAGAGATGGAGGGAGGGAGAAGTATCATATCATGTGTAGGAGAAATTGAAATCTGAGTCTTACAATCTTCATGAAGGTAGGCAAGCCCCTTGGCAGATCCAAGTGCAATTCGCATTCTAGTTGGCCAATCCATGGTAGGCATGCCCTTTCCTGTGACCATCAGATACATTAGCCATTACTATTAAACATTAGAAATAATCAACCAAGAAATATTGTTTGAAAACTATGCTCTGCAAGCAAGTTGTTGTGTTTCAAAAATGTGTGTCCATTAGTTGTTCTGTTCTCTACTTGTCCAACACTTCAGTCTTCTCACATGAGCAAACATCGTACATCAAAACCAAAACCATAACCATAAACAACTAGCACTTACCATGAAGGTGATGTTCCAAAGTTTGATTGGGAACAAAATCATAAACCAACATTCTCTGGCCTCCACAAATGCAATATCCAACAAGTGACACAAGATGACGATGATGAACACGACTAATGATGTCAATCTCAGCTTGGAACTCGCGCTCTCCTTGCCCACTACCTGATTTGAGACTCTTAACAGCCACTTCCTTTCCATTAGGCAAAACTCCCTTATGGACATAACCAAAGCCACCTTGTCCTATGATGTTCTCATTAGCAAATCCTTGGGTGGCAGCTGCTAATTCCTCATAGGTGAAGGTACCACCCTTGAGTGTGAGAGAAAGTCCAGGTGAGGAAGAAGGCCTTCCCAATGAGTAATTGGAACTCATATCACCACTATTCATTTGAGGATTTGATGCACCCCAACCTTGGCTAGGAGGACCCATTCCCATTCCCATTCCCATTCCCATTCCCATACCCATTCCCATTCCCATTCCTTGTTGTTGTCCCATTCCCATTCCTTGTTGCTGTCCCATTCCCATTCCTTGTTGCTGTCCCATTCCCATTCCTTGTTGCTGTCCCATTCCCATTCCCATTCCTCCTTGTTGTCCCATTCCCATTCCCATTCCTCCTTGTTGTACCCTCACAACATGGTCACCCCCTTGTTGCCAATTAGGAAGAGCCTGTTGTTGCCCATTATTGTGGAAGTTATTCCCTGTGCAAATTATTTTGGAGCCCGTTAATTATAAGTCACTAACTTTATTTGTTTAGAGAGTCCAAAACTGTTTGAAACAATATTGTAGTGTGAAGAAAGTTCTTGCAATAAAATACAAACAAGTCTAAGGATTAACTGTCAAAATCCATTATTTTGTGTTCTTCCAAAACAATTCGTTTCTTTACTAAATGACAAAATAGTTATTCATAACATCATACAAGACTGCATAGTGCCAAAAATATATAACGACCACGACAGATTGATAGTTTTCCCCCTTTGTCATGGAAAAATAAAATTATGAAAATCGTCCAAAGTGTACCAAATCAATAATATTGTTCACTATAGTATTAATATTAGCTAATTCTTCATTAAATATAATAACAAAAATTAGCCTTTTATATTTCTGACTAATTACCTCTTCATAATAAGTTCACACAAACATTTCTCTTCATCATCCTTTACAATGCGTGTGAAATGAGAACATAAAAGGAATGAATCTTGACACTAAAAATCTTAATTGTTTCATTTAAATGAATGATTAAAATTAAAAATAATTAAAACATAGACACTAAATATACAGTGAACAAAACATATACTTTATAAGTATAAGGTGCTTAACTATGTACCTTTAGGGTGATCAATGATCGAATACGGTCGGTTTTGAACTGATACAGTTCAAATTGATATAACTTACGATTTGCATTATTTAGATCCAAATCCGACCAAATGATTTCTTGATTTTGGTGGATTTTGATTCGAGTAGGTCTCAATTTTATCATATAGTTTTCTCAGTGTAAAGATCTATTAGATTTTGAATCATTTAATTGACCCAAATAAAACTTTTATCCAAGGCATTATCTTTTTTTTTTAATTCTTGTATCATTTTTTATACATTCAACTATTAAAATATTATTTAGTTCGTTTAGAATCAAAATGAATAAAATTATTGAATTTTCAAATAATTTAAATATTATAACCATTTTTTTAGGTACATAATATAAAAAATAAAAAATAAAAAGTTACAAACTACACTCTGAACTAGAATTTTTTGTACATTAACAATAAAGATTAAAAATGAATCAAAATAAGCTTAATTTTAAAGCCTAAATGATAATTACTTTAATCTTTATTTTGTTTGGACGATTGAATTCTAACATCTATGGATCTAAAAATTCAAATTAAACCCAATTAAAATTGACCATTCCAAACCACATTTTTAATTGGTTTAAACTATTAATCCGATCAAACTGTCTCATTTTTTTTTTCTTTCAACTTTTTCAATTTGGGATTGATTTCAGGTTGGTGCTCACCCTCACCCTCACCCCTATCCTACGTTACCATTTACATTTTGAATGCATGTATAAATAAAAGTGGAAAAACAAGAGGCGATACCTTTTTCCTGAGAATAGTACTTTTGCTTGCGTTTCTTCCTCCTGCAGCACCAAATAATAGCTATGATGACAATCACGAGAATAACGAAGCCTACTCCGAGCCCAGCACCGAGTGCGGCTTTACGCCCGCTACTGTCTTTGTTGGATGTGGAGCCGTCATGTGATAGCGATTGTAACGAAAAATCGTTGGACGCAGTATTATCTCCCCCTGAAGAAGGCGTCGACGTGGAACTTTTGTGTGACGACGCGTGGGAATTATCCGGTGTGGCATTATCGGGAGTGGCATTATCGGGAGTGGCGTTATCGGGTGTGGAATTGTCGGGTGTGGCGTTATCGGGTGTGGCGTTATCCGGTGTGGAATTATGAGGAGCAGAGCTATGAGGGGACGACACCATTGCAAATCTGTGTTCCGGCCAAATGGCTTATACACCGTAATGCCGGAACACCAGATTTCCCCCCTATCTCTTTCTTCTTACAATGTTGGCCCTGTCACCAACACTTTTGATTTCAAGATTAATGAGAAAATGGGGAAGATAAATTTAAAAAAACATTTAATTAATGTTTAGTATTTACCTGGAAGGAGGAGAAGGAAGAAGGGTTGTTGTGGAAGGAAGAAACTATTGCGTGGGAAAAGAAGTGGCAATGTTAACCAAACCCTCCTACAAAGGAGGACTTTTGCCATCTTTTACTTTGTTTCACTCATTTATAGGTTTTACCGTTTTCTGGTTGGTGTTTGTTTCATCATCATGAACCATGCATCAACGTCCATCCAAATTTTGCTTTCAAGATCCATCTCTCACATAAAACAAGACTAACCACAAATAGCTTACTATTACAAACCCTCCCTCCCATGCACCCCACAATATCATGTTCATCTAGATTCCCATTATAACATTTTCCTCGTTAACATTGCAAAATTATTTTACCTCTTATGCTATAGTTATTCACATTATTAACTTGAACAAAAATACTATATGAGTTGTTTAATGTAGAAAAAAAAAATACCATGCAACCCGAGATTTTATAGACTGTCACCGCCGTGGTTGTTAGTACTATATATTTGTCATAAATTATCAGTTGTTCAACATTATTAAGTATATTTATGGCGTCAGACTCATCATTTTATATATGAACATGGTTTGCTGGTATTTCATCTTTCTAGTGTAAATTAGATCTAATAACAAGGTGACATGTATTAAAATAGTTGTATGTTTTGTTTTTTTATACTATATTCATGTTTATATACATTCATCATCGAGATTAAGAAAAGTAGTTAATTTAGATAATAATAATAAATTTATCTTATTTTTGTAAAAAAAAATTAGTTATTCTTACTATTTTTCTCTATTAATTAATATTCATTTATCTCATAATCAATTAAAGTTCAAGTCTTATGTTACTTCTCTCTTATAATTAATATTGTTTATTCTTCAAACTAATTACAATACATGTCTTTTAAAGAGTTTATAATTAATGTATTTCATCAAATTAAAAGAACAAGTTTTAATTAAGAGTATTTTATTGTAAAAATAATTAATACATCAAGCACAATGAATTACGTATTACATAAAGAAACAAACAATTGTTCTAAGTTGAATCTTATAAATAAAAACAAGGATAGTATATGAGTTTGTGGTACTCCTTATACCACTTTAATATATTGTTTATTTGTTAATAAAGAAAATTATGGTATCGATTAATATCTATACAAAATGTATTTAAGTGTACTAACAAAGTGTGACAGTTGGTAAATAATCTTGTCCCTTAATTTTAAGCATGTTATCATGAAGTGTATGAAAAAATATTTATTAAAATAACTCAATCTCTTAAATAGATCTCACTACGTCGAAGGTGTAGAAACGATACCATAGTTTACCAGGAAAAAAGTGTATTTAAGTACTTTTTTAATTATATATACTGTGTAGAAATTACTTATGGATGATTTGATTCATGACTAAATGCTCTAAACTCTTTTTTCTATGGCATTCATTATGCTGTGTAATTTTGATTCGCATCACATGGCCTCAAAGGAATTTGTTGATCCTTTCATGGTTAGAACGTTAAAATGAGATAACGCAGCTGTGTATGTTAATCTAACAAATCACCATTTTATTATTTATTTGAAAAAATGAAAAAACAATTGATAAATATGTTAGTTCTTTGTGATGGTTTTCTATCCTTCTCTCGGACTCAAGTTATTATAATTCTAAATTCTTATGAATTTATTTTTAAAATTTTAACTTGTTACCTTTTTGTAATTTGTCATAGCGAAATTACATTATAACCTCCAAAAACTCTTTACTAGTTAACTTGGGAAGTTCTTTATTTATATACTAGCCTTGAACTAAATTGATAAGCAATTTAATTAATATGTATCAAAAAAAAAATTCCTAAAGGAAACGAGAAAATTTTAATATAAATGAATAGAATTAATTTCATAGTGGAGGTAACCTAGATTTTAAGGGAGAAAAAAGCTAATTCAAAAAATAAAATAATTTTAAGAGTATAATAATAAAAATTGAGATCTAAGAATTTAAAATCTTAATGTAAAATTAAATTTAAATATAAATAAAATTTATCTCTCCTTTATGTCTTCCTTGTTTCTATCTAGCGAAAACTCCTAAAGTTTATTTTCTTTCTCACCTAATTTTTTATCCATCCACCCTATTTCTCTCTCCTCAAACAAACTGCTAGTCAACATAACAAGAAAGAAAATAAACAAACAATAAATAAATAATAAAAAAAATAAAAATAAAAATGATGGTTGGGACAAGAAGAACGGAGAAAAGAGGCACACGGCAAGAAGGAAACAAAAGGAAATGAGGTGAGGATCGGAGCCCAAAGGAAGAAATGAAACATAACCAATATATTTATTTGATCCATTAGGTTTTTCTGTTGGCCCAATGAGTTACCTTTGACTGAACAAATTAGTCTAATTTCTGACCAACTAACAAATTTAAGCTTAAAAATATGAGCACTTACTAGTTAACTAGTATTTTACCCTCCATATTTTTTATACATAATTAAAATTTATAATAACTTATATTATATGTATATTTATATTTATATGTAAATACTATGTTTGAATAAATTATATTTATATTTATATTTATATGTATAAATTATATATATATATAATCCCAAGCGTGTGGTTCAGCGGTAGGAGTTGATCCACGCTTAAGCAAGGTCAGGGGTTCGAATCCTGCCTTGTGTATGCAGCCGCGTTAAATCTTGGGGCCAGCTATCTCACCCTTTGAGGTGTCTCCAACGTAGCAGGAGATTAGTCACTGCTGTCGGCGGTGGATACTCCAAGAACGAACCTAAAAAAAAATTATATATATAAATACTATTTTGAATATATAAATTATATTTTAAATTAGTATATATAAATGTTTTTAAAAATATAAATTATATTTTAAATTTATGATAAATAATTTGTATTGTAACAAAAAATTATTTTGTTTATTGATAAATTATTTTAAAAATATTAATATTTAATTTATAACTATTTATGATAAATAAGATAGAATTAAATGAAAAGTTAAAAAAAAATCTTAGAAACTTTGAAAATTTCCAAAAAAAAAAATATTTTCACGGTAGAAGTTCGTATTTAATATATAGGGATTTAATTGATAAACATGATAAATAAAAATTGAATTATATAAGTTTTAAAAAAAATCGCTAGAAATCCACTCAAGAAAAACTCTTAAAAATATTATTGCTTAAGTGGTTCGTGTTTAATAATATAGAGATTGATTTATGTTAAATTTTATTTATACAAAATATTGATATATTATCTAATTTTATGTAGTTTGACGAAAGGCTTCCGAGTTGATTATTATTTATTAGACTAATTTAGAAAATACGATCTTGTGTTAAATTATATTTTTATTCTTTATTTTAGCTTTTAAATTTATTTTGATTCTTTATCTCTTAAAATTTCCATTTTGGTCATTAATCTCTTACAATTGAATCAATTTAGTACTTTTAAAACAATAATCATTTTCAATATTATAACATGATTTTGAATCAATTTTTATTAATTCAGGACATGAAATTTATAACATTAGATTCACCTATATGAAAATTATGAAATTTAATTAGTATTTGAATTCAAAAGAGTTATAAGCATAACGAAAATCATGTAAAAAACATACCTCAAACAATTAGAAAATGATAAAAATTAAACTTTTAAATTATTTGATTATTATTTTTACTTATTATTATGACTTCCACCATATTTTTAACATTTTTTAGTTCTAGCTTTAATTGTGTTTAATAATTTTTATGTAGAAGAATTTAATGAAACAAGTTTCAAATCTTGAAATAGTCAATAAATAATTTAAAATAGTATTTTAAAATTGAAAACAATCATTATTTCAAAAAAAAAAACTAAATAAGACCAAAATAAACATTTTTAAAGATAAAAAAATAATAAATCTAAGAAAAAAAGGTATAATTTGACTAACATGTTATTAACAAAAATTAAATTTTAATTCTGACTACGACCTCAAAAGCCCCTTTTTAGTCTAAAAAATAAATATATTTTACTGATGTGCCAGTACCAGTGTATAAAAACTAGAGTGTGTTTGTAAATTGTAATTAAATTTGACAAGCAGGTGTTTGTGTTGCGCCATCTAACGACTGACGAGTCACGGGCATAAGCGCCCACCAAATCATAAGATAGAAAACGAGCAACAATCGCGTGAGAGTTGGACCTCACCTCACTCGTGTTGAGTTTATTACACCGCTCGCTCACGATTTGGTTGCGTGTGGCTCACGCGAGAATTGAGGATTGTCTGAGAAGTAAAAACGTCAAGCTAATTGGCTTGGTTCCAAAGAGAGGAAAACCAATTTGATGGCATAAACAATGCTCATCTCACCGTCCAATTGAAATCTGGACCACGTGGCAAGACGTAAAATTCAGGTGTATTGGAGAGATAAAACCATCAAAATTCGGTCAATTTTGTTGGATAAAACAATTGCATACATAAATCGAGGGCCCCATTGGAACATTACCTGGCAGTTGACCACTCCAGCAGGAGCAAGATTGGCTCATTGTAATGAAAATAAATGCAAGGCAGAAACTGGAATAATTCCACGTAACAAGAGCAATAATTTATGAACTAGCCACGTCATTACAATAGGCACCATATTTGATTGATCGGAATCATTTTCATAAGAGCTATCTACAGGTGTTTTTACAAGCTTTTCCTTTTTCTCCCACCAAAAAAGTACTCCAATAAACTAGAGATTTGAAAGAAAAAAAATTTAAAAGGTTCCCACCCTTTCCCTCCAGGCTCCAGGCACAAGCCAGTTCCTTTACAAGCCAACACCAGCACCGAGCACATGAGCGGTAAACCTCTGATAACTGCCATTTGAATATTTAATAGAGTAACGGCTATATGTGAAAGGCAAGAGGGAAAAAACACTACCGACTTTTTGAACTAAACATATTTCCACCCAACATACAATTCTTTTCCCTAATATGTCCTCTGTTCATGAGAGCTAAAATCCTATAACTAACCATTGTTCTATCTAAACTGAGGTTTCCCTGCTTCCAACACATGGAAGCCATCAACAGAACAAGAACATGATATATATTATAATGGTGCGTCAATGATGCTTCTTGGATGACTTCGTGAACGCTACCACATCTTCGTCATCTTCATCCTCGTCATCTTCATCATCATCAGCTTCATCATCCCTCTTTCTCTTGAGGTGTGACGAGTCAGGAGGCAGCACCTGAACTTCATCATCATCGTCATCATCAACTTCATCCTCCTCTTCACCATCATCATTTCCAACATCCACATCAGCACCTCCAGCATTGAGAGCATCAGACTGTCCAACTGGCTGAACAAGATACCCAGCACCATAGTCTTCTTCCTGTCATTCCAGCATATTTTAGTTAAAAGCTGAGACAAACTCTTCAATCCATAATTACGTATAAAAAAACAAAAAATAAAGCAAACAGTCAAGAAATTCTCATGAAATGTAATTGTTTATATTATATATGTTATATTATCATAACTCGAACATTCTTACATTTTCACCACCGAAACAAATAACCGTGAGTAACTGCTTCTGTTCTAGTAAAACTTACAATACTACATTACAAACAAAAATATCATAATTGATTCCCGACCAGAATACCACACAAAAGGCACAATCAAATTCCCAAAAATAACCATATATTCTGTAATATCTTAGTTTAAAACCAAATTAAGTACAAGAGCAGAAGCAGATCATAGAAAACAACAAAAGCTCAAGAAAGGCCAATTGAGCAAATAATACATGTCTCTAACTTAGCACAACATAATCATAACCCTGAAATAATAACGCTGAAGACAACAAACATATATATTAAAATCGAACCCTTTTTATATGTTAACACCAAAGAAAGAAAAAAAGAAGAAAAAAAAGACAAGAAACTTGAGGCAATACAGCGGAAAATATGCTCAACAGATTTTAAAAAATAAAAATATATAAATCAAAATTCAAACAAATCAGGACTGCCATATAATACATGTTAATGAATATATATAACCAAGCGGAGGAATTTCAAATATCAAAGTCTTAAGTTTTCTTCCAGTCAAATTTAGGGCCCGTTTACTTGATTTTTCATTTTACCTTTTTAATACAAAAGTTTCATCTTATTTTCAATTTGCTTCCTATTTTAATATTTTCGTAATATTGTGTATAGGAAACAAAAAAGAAAGAGTAATTTTCACTTCAGTGTTTACAGTACAAATCTTGGAAAACAATGTGTCAATTTTATATGTATAATAATAGTGAAATATAAAACGAAAACAAAGTGAACAAACCCTAAAAATAACAAATAAGGTTATTAAGATTCAAAAATGCAATTGCTATTTATACTGCAAAGTTCTTATCCGTATCTGCAAGAGAATTTATTTTCTTCTCAATTCCTGCATTCAATGGATACTGTAAGGACAGACAAGGCAGTGGTAACAAGTTAAATATGGGCGAAATCTGTTTAACATTAGGTATACATACGATACAATTGCAGGATATCAAAACAACAGCACACGATAAAAATGCATATTTTTCAGACAGGGCAGTGACAAAAATTAGAATCACTATACTCAAAACAACTGGGATCGGACTACAAATACTGGATTTAGAGCACAAAATATCATAAGCTCAGTCATGCATATCGAGCAAGAAAAAATTGTCCACTTTTTCTTGCACAAAACAGACAAGAAACATGCAACTCCAAATATCACACAAAACAAACATGCGATGCAAACAAATTAAACCAAACAGCTAAAAGAGTTCAAATCTAGTTATGGCAAGCATCAGTCCACATAAATCATTTCCTCCTCGGCAATCTGACAACATCATACCAAGCAAAAACAATTAGCACCACAATATACAAAACCATGAACACAAATACACAACAAACGCAAATAAAACATTATAAAATAAAAAAATAAATAAAAAAAGCGCAGCATAGCATGCAATAAACAAAATAAAAAGTAAATGAGAAGGGTTATCTCACTTCATCATCGTCTTCAAACTCTACGTCCTCCTCCACTCCCATCTCATCTTCCCCAGTCTCCCCATTATCATCCTCATCCCCATCCTCCTCCCCCTGTTCATGCCCATCAATCTCCCCTTCAGTACTCGTCAACCTCCCAGTACTCTCCGGCTCCGCAAAGTCCCCCTCGTCATTATCCACCTCTTCCTCCTCCTCATCGTCGTCGTCATCATCATCCTCATCAAACTCCACGCCATCATCATCATCATCATCATCGCTATCCTCAATCTCATGCACCTCCACGACATCATCATCATCCCCCTCCTCCTCATCAATCTCCTCCCCAGAATCATCATCCTCCTCATCCTCCTCCACATCATCCCCTTCCACCGGCGCCGGGGCAACGCGAAACCCATTCTCCCGGTGACCAACGCCGTTCACCATCCGCCTGGCGGTCTCCGTCTCCTCCTCATCCGCATCACTCTCCTCGTCATCATCAGCATTAACAACACCATCAGCACCCTCGGCATGTCCATTGTTCATCCCAAACGGTCGATCCTCCTCCCCATCAATCTCGCCGCTCCCAGGGTCATCATCTTCCTCCTCCTCCTCGTCCTCCTCCTCCTCGTCGTCACTCTCCGGCCTCTCGTTCTCCTCCGCGTCCATCTTGTCCAAGTACTTGAGCGACTTAATCAACCCGAAAACCCTAGATCGATAATCCTTCACGCGCGTCACGGGGCACTCGTACAGATCCAGCGAAACCAGCTTCACCTGCGCGAGCGGCGCGAGATCCTCAATGTACTGAATCCGATTGTTGGACAAATCGAGGTCGCGCAGCGAATCCAGACCGGCCTGGACCAGAAACTCCAACCCGCCGGCGATGCGGTTGTCGGAGAGGTTCAGCTTCTGCAGATTCCGCAGCCGCGGAAACTGCTCCAGCGACGAAACGCCGACGTTTGCGATCGAAAGATGCTGGAGGTTCTGGAAGCGCTCGAGGAGGCTCGGGGGAGGCAAACGTCCCTGCACGCACTTGACGGCGCCGTCTAGGGTTAGCGTCCGCGCGGAGGCGTGGTCCTTCTCGCCGTCTAACGCCGTTTCCACAGCCCTCTCCCAGATCTCGTCCATCAAATAGGAAATCCTATATCTCATACAAAACGTCGCCGTGCAAGGAAAGCCCAACGCTTCAGGTATCGCCTTCGTTAACCCCACGCATGGGTGTTTTGTGAAAACGAAAAGTGAGAGTAGTGCTGTTATGAAGCAACGCGTTTGTTTGTTTGTGTGTCGGAATGGAATTGGATTGAGATGCAAAATCCGGTTTGGGGAGTGTGGGAATTTGGAGCAGGACGATGGTTTTGGATTTTGGAGAGTTTAGGTTTGTGTTTCTCTCTCTATAGTGTCTTTTATAATTTCTCTCTCTTTGGCCAGGGGAGGCGAATGGGGGATAAACCTCTCTGTCTTGTGTGTAAACGGGCTCTCGCGCGCTTTGGGTCTGCCCTAGGGTTCAACCTGGGCTCACCCTTTGTGGTTCGGGGCGTTTTGTCTTGTAGCGATGCAGGCCGTTGGATTCGGACTGACGGGGATCGATGACGTGGACAGAATGGACGGCTCCGATTGGGGGTTTCTGTGTTTGTTTTCGACAAGGGTGTAGCGCGTAATGGACTGCCTATTTTCGAACACGTCATGGATTATGTAAATATCGGAAAAAGGTTTCATCTTTGCATATTTTTTTCACTCAATTTACGAAAATGCCACGCTTGCGAGGAGTGTCAAGTGCGAACACCCTCAACCGGATATGGATGAAAATATTCATCACTTTCCATTTTTTTTTTCTTCTTTTTCAGAAAAAAAAATTTCTATTTTCACATTTCAGGAATCTTTAGAAAAATAATAATAATCTTTTTATCGAGTATATTTTACTAAAAAAGTGTGAAATTATGCATAAATATTATTAAATATGAAATGAAACTTATATTTAATTGATAGGTAAGAGTAAAAATGAGAATAGATCAAATATTAAAAAAATCTATAATTTAATCTATTTAAAGAATAATTTGACTTAATATATTTGATTAAAAAAAGATTGAGTTGAAGTTACTTATTTAAATAAATTGTATTTAGATATATAAAAATTGTTAGATTAATCTATTTATTTATATGATATAATAAAAAATAATATGTGTATTATATTATTAATAATATAAATAATTTTGTAATAAAAATAAATAAATTATAAATATCTTTTATACATATTTTTAGGTATGAGAATAGGTCAAGTTTTAAATATATAGGTTGAATCTACTCTACAAAATTAAAATTTAAATCTAACCTATTATCTCTCATATATTTTTTTATAAGTATGGCATAAACTTTTTAAAGCTAAACATGGTCTATTAATTTATTTAAAAGTCTATTTAAATTATTAATGTTAATTAGAT